CATCCATCTGGACCATCCAGGGTTCCACGGTACTCATCAGTGAACAGGACTGTTTGAAAATTTGTCTTCATGTATTTTTCTGCCCAATGCAGCCATTTCTGCTTGCAAGCATTGGTTAGTGGTGGCCGAATAGAAGGTATATGCACAGTCTGGAGGACTCTACACCTTGATGTCCGTGGGACTCCAGAGGCACCAGCAGCTTCAAATATCTGTTTGCTGCTATGTAATGGTATTTTAGCAGCTGCTCTCTTGATCCGATGCATGGATCTGGCAGAAATCTTCCTCAATGTGCCTTTATCTGCACGAACCCGTCTGTGCTCTGAATCAGCCACAAATCTCTTAATAGTGCAATGATCACGCTTACGTTTTTGTGAAATATCTAATGTTTTCATACCTCGTCCAAGGCATTGAACTATTTCACTCTTTTTGGCAGCAGAGAGATCCTTTTTCTTCCCCATATTGCTTGAAAATGGTGCTCTGCTTAATAATGTGGAACACCGTCCTTTAGTAGTTTTTCCTTAAATTGTTTTCAGTGATCAAAAGAGCCCTGAGACACAATGCCATCCATGAGTTAAACTGAAAAACAAAATATTTCATCTTTGTGACTCTTAAATAGAATTTGCATAATAATTTGGAACAGGGTGTATTTGATAGTACTACTACTGTTTTCTTCCATAATTTGTATATTTTTTTCTTGAAAGTGGCAGCACCTTTCTATAGTCCCATACTTTATTCTACATTTTGGATCTATATACAGTGAGGAACAAAAGTATTTGAACAGCCTGCGATTTTGCACGTTCTCCCACTTAGAAATCATGGAGGGGTCTGAAATTCACATTGTAGGTGCATTCCCACTCTGAGAGACAGAATTTAAAAAAAAATTCAGGAAATCACATTGTATGATTTGTAAGGAATTTTTTTGTCTTGCACTGCTGAACATCAGTATTTGAACACCTAAGAAACAGCAAGAATTCTGGCTCTCAAAGACCTTTTACTGTGCCTTTAAAATGTCCACCTCTACTCCACTCATTAATCTAACTTAGTAGCACCTGCTCTTTAAAGACACCTGTTCACCCCACAGTCAGTCAGATGCCAACTACTACCATGGGCAAGACCAAAGAGCTGTCAAAAGACATCAGAGACAAAATTGTGGACCTCCACAAGGCTGGAAAGGGCTACAGGGCAATTGCCAAGCAGCTTGGTGAAAACAGATCAACTGTTGGAGCAATTGTTAGAAAATGGAAGAGGCTAAAGATGACTGTCAGTCTCCCTCGGACTGGGGCTCCATGCAAGATCTCACCTCGTGGGGATCACTGATGATAAGAAAGGTGAGGAATCAGTCCAGAACTACAAGAGAGGAGCTGGTCAATGACATGAAGAGAGCTGGGACCAGAGTTTCAAAGGTCACTGTCGGTAGAACACTACGCCGTTATGGTTGCAAATCATGCACAGAAGGTTCCCCTGCTCAAGTCATCACATGTCCAGGCCCGTTTGAAGTTTGCCATTGACCATCTGGATGATCCAGAGGAGGCATGGGAGAAAGTCATGTGGTCAGATGAGACCAAAGTAGAACTTTTTTGGTCTAAACTTCACTCGTCGTCGTGTTTGGAGGAAAAAGGATGAGTTGCATCCCAAGAACACCATCCCTTTTGTGAAGCATGGGGGTGGTAACACCATGCTTTGAGGGTGCTTTTCTGCAAAGGGGACAGGACGACTGCACTGTATTAAAGAGAGGATGAATGGGGCCATTTATTGTAAAATTTTGAGCAACAACCTCCTTCCCTCAGTCAGAGCATTGAAGATCGGTCATGGCTGGGTCTTCCAACATGACAACGACACGAAGCACACAGCCAGGATAACCAAGGAGTGGCTCCGTAAGAAGCATATCAAGGTTCTGGAGTGGCCTAGCCATTCTCCAGACCTAAATTCAATAGAACATCTTTGGAGGGAGCTAAAACTCTGTGTTGCTCAGCGACAGCCCCAAAACCTGACGGATCTAGAGGAGCTCTGTGTGGAGGAGTGGGCCAAAATCCCTGCTGCAGTGTGTGCAAACCTGGTCAAGAACTACAGGAAACGTTTGACCTCTGTAATTTCAAACAAAGGCTTCTGTACCAAATATTAACACTGATTTTCTCAGGTGTCAAATACTTACAGTGGGGATCGAAAGTTTGGGCACCCCAGCTAAAAATGTGTATTAATGTGCATAAAGAAGCCAAGGAAAGATGGAAAAATCTCCAAAAGGCATCAAATTACAGATTAGACATTCTTATAATATGTCAACAAAAGTTAGATTTTATTTCCATCATTTACACTTTCAAAATAACAGAAAACAAAAAAATGACGTCTGCAAAAGTTTGGGCACCCTGCAGACGTAAAATCTTGTACTGCCACCTTTGGCAAGTATCACAGCTTGTAAACGCTTTTTGTAGCCAGCCAAGAGTCTTTCAATTCTTGTTTGAGGTATCTTTTCCCATTCTTCCTTACAAAAGTCTTCCAGTTCTTTGAGATTTCTGGGCTGTCTGTCACGCACTGCTCTTTTAAGGTCTATCCATAGATTTTCAATTATGTTGAGGAGATTGTGAAGGCCATGGCAAAACCTTCAGTTTACGCCTCTTGATGTAATCCCCCGTGGATTTCGAGGTGTGTTTAGGATCAATATCCATTTGTAGAAGCCATCCTCTCTTTAACTTCAGCATTTTCACAGATGGCATCGTTACCATCCAAAATTTGCTGAAATTTTATTGAATCCATTTTTCCTTCTACTCGTGAGATGTTCCCTGTGCTACTGGCTGCAACACAACCCCAAAGCATGATTGATCCAACCCCATGCTTAACAGTTGGACAGAGGTTCTTTTCATTAAATTCTGTGCCCCTTCTTCTCCAAACGTACCTTTGCTCATTCCGGCCAAAAAGTTCAATTTTAACCTCATCGGTCCACAGAACTTGTTTCCAAAATGCATCAGGCTTGTCTGTATGTTCATTTGCAAAGTTCAAACGATGAATTTTGTGTGGTGAGGTTTTCTTCTGATGACTCTTCCATGAAGACCATATTTGTACAAGTATCTCTTTATAGTGGAATAGTGTACCAGTGTCTGCCAGATCTTTCTGGAGGGATCGTGTAGTCAAACGTGGGTTTTGAATTGTTTTTCTCACAATCCTGCGAGCTGTTCTGTCTGATATTTTTCTTGGTCTTCCAGATCTTGCTTTAACTTCCACTGTTCCTGATGACTGCCATTTCTTAATTACATTCCGAACAGAGGATATTGACATCTGAAAATGCTTTGCTATCTTCTTATAGCCTTCTCCAGCTTTGTGAGTGTCAACCATTTTCAGTTTCAGTTTTCTAGACAACTGCTTAGAAGAACCCATGGTGCTGATTGTTGGGGCAAGGTCAGATGAGTCTGGGCATTTAAAACCTTTGAGATTGACATCACCTGGTCTTCCCAGACGATGATTGAGAACAATCCATGACACTGGCAGGTCTCAGCTTGGCAAAGGGGTCAGTGCATGCTATAAATTCTGCAGGGTGCCCAAACTTTTGCAGACGCCATTTTTTTGTTTTCTGTTATTTTGAAAGTGTAAATGATGGAAATAAAATCTAACTTTTGTTGACATATTATAAGAATGTCTAATCTGTAATTTGATGCCTTTTGGAGATTTTTCCATCTTTCCTTGGCTTCTTTATGCACATTAATACACATTTTTAGCTGGGGTGCCCAAACTTTCGATCCCCACTGTATCCCCACTGTATGTTCAGCAGTGCAAGACAAATAAATTCTTTAAAAATCATACAATGTGATTTCCTGCATTTTTTTTTTAATTCTGTCTCTCAGAGTGGGAATGCACCTACAATGTGAATTTCAGACCCCTCCATGATTTCTAAGTGGGAGAACTTGCAAAATCGCAGGGTGTTCTAATACTTCTGTTCCTCGCTGTATAGCTTAAGGTATGTGGTGCATTTATATCTACCAACATCATTTTTGCTATAAAGATGTCTTAATTCTATGGAAGGACTCTGAATCAGAGCTACATAGATTAATTAAGGAAATAAAAGAAAACAAAAGGAATATTAAACTCAAGTACACATTTGATAGGAAAAAGATTTCCTTTTCGGACCCCATGATAATAATAGAAGGGGATAAAACTGACCACAGAGACTTTCTGCAAAGAAACAACAATGAATACCATTAGCAGCCACCATCCTGGACCCCTCATTCGTGGAATCCCAGTTGGTCAATTTTTGTGCATTTATTGCAACTGTACCAAGGTTGAAAACTCTAAAACAGAAGCTCAAGACATGCATGGGAGGTTCAAAGAAAGGGGCTACTTTCTCAGGACTAACAGAAAAGTCATAAAGAGAGCATTTAGCAGTGACAGGCAAAAATTGGACAACTTTGTGAACAAAAAAAAACTAATTTATTTACTTCCATAATTTTTTAAAGAATTTAGGTAAATTACATCTCCAAAAACTCACCTCATGAATTCCCCTTATTAAATACCATGGGCTGGCTACTTTTCAAAAAAAGGGGTCATCGGGGGGGATTTGTGCTGTTCTGGCATTTGAGGGCCTCAAGAAACTAAATAAACAGTCATTACATCAGGATTGATCAATTATCAAATAAGTATACCATAGTTTGTAGAATATTTTACTTTCAAACAGGCTAAATAATTTACATTGATTGTAGGTCCTCTTCACCAAAGAAATGTAGCAAAATACATTCTGGCCTAAATTAATGAAGAAAGATTATTTGTTTTCAAAATTTTATAACCAAAACTAAGAAAAAATTTTGTTTTTAATTTTTCATTTATATTGCAAAACATATAAAAAAAACCCAGTGGTGATTACCGTATTTTTTCGCTCCATAAGACGCACCCTGACCATAAGAGGCACTTAGGTTTTAGAGGAGAAAAACAAGAAAAAAATATTCTGAACCAATGGACTGCAGACACAGTACATGAGATGACCAGAGACTGTGGACATAGTACAGGAGATGACCAGAGACTGCGGACATAGTACAGGAGATGACCAGAGACTGCGTACACAGTACAGGAGATGACCAGAGACTGTGAACACAGTACAGGAGATGACCAGAGAATGCGGACACAGGACAGGAGATGACCAGAGACTGCGGACATAGCACAGGAGATGACCAGAGACTGCAGACATAGCATAGGAGATGACCAGAGACTGCGGACACAGTACAGGAGATGACCAGAGACTGCGAACACAGTACAGGAGATGACCAGAGACTAAAGACAGTACAGGAGATGACCAGAGACTGCGGACACAGTACAGATGGCCAGAGACTGCGGACACAGTACAGGAGATGACCAGAGACTGCAGACAGTACAGGGGATGACCAAGAGACTGCAGACAGTACAGGGGATGACCAAGAGACTGCAGACAGTACAGGGGATGACCAAGACACTGTGGACCTTTGGGGAGGGAGGGGGAGCAGGTTCCTGAATTTGACAGGTACCCGCTCCCACTTCAGCTGAGTTGTCCTCTCTATAGTGTGGGCACCCGGCTGTGACAGCCGGGTGCCCACTGCGCATGCGCGAGAAGCGCTGCGCTTTGTGAATGGCCCAGCATCTTCTGGGACACATAACACCCACTGTGACAGCCGGGTGCCCAAACTAAAGATGCCGGCGCGGGAAGACTGTACAGCTCTGGACCAAGGAACAGGTAAGGTCCTGCTGCAGAGAAGAGCTGAGCGGCCATCCCGGTATTCTGACACGGTGTCGGCGGCAATATTCGCTCCATAAGACGCACTGACATTTTCCCCCTTTTTTTGGTGGGAAAAAAGTGCGTCTTATGGAGTGAAAAATACGGTAAATGCCACCAAAAAAGATATAAAATTAATTTGAGTATAGTGTTGCATGACTGAGTAATTGTCATTCAAAGTGTGACAGCTCTGAAAGATAAAAAAAAATGGCCTAGACTGGAAGGAGGTGAAAGTGTTGGGAAGAAACATCGGTTGTCATTTTATATATATATATATATATATATATATATATATATATATATATATATATATAGACACACACACACACATATATAATAAAGGGGATTAGAGGAAATCCATCAGAAAGCTTTATTTAGGTTAACGCTTACCATAGCTAGTGATGATGAATGAAACCTCTCACAACCTAGCGTCCTTCTAGGCACACTGCTTCTCTTTTCTCTCTTCTGTTTGAATATATCTGAGGGTATTGCTTTGCCTGAATTGTTGCAGTTAATTTTCCAAATGGATGGTTGACCAGTTGTGAGTGTGGATACATGCATATAAATTGGAATGGATTAGACCTTTGAATTACCCTCACCTGTAATATGCAGTTCAGTTTTGGCCACCAGTTCACAAAAAGGGATATCGGGGAACTGGGGAAAATGCAGAGAAGGGCAACCAAACTGATAAGAGGCATGGAGGAGCTCAGCTATGAGGAAAGATTAGAGGAACTGAATTAATTCTCTCTTGGGAAGAGGAGATTAAGGGGGGATATGATAAACATGTATAAATACATCAGTGGTCCATATAGTGAACTCAGTGTAAAGTTATTCACTTTAAGGTCATCACAAAAGACAAAGGGGCACTCTTTAAATCTGGAGAAAAAGAGATTTAATCTCCATTGACGGAAAGGCTTCTTCACAGTAAGAGCAGTGAAAATGTGGAATAGACTCCCTCAAGAGCTGGTTCTGGCCAGCTCAGTAGATTGTTTTAAAAAAGGCCTGGATTATTTCTTAGATACACAGAATATAACTGGATACTAACATTTATAGGTAAAGTTGATCCAGGGAATATACGATTGCCTCTTGGAGGATCAGGAAGAAATTTTTTTGCCCTGCTGGAGCAAATTGTGTCATCATTTATTTGATGTTTTTTGCCTTTCTCTGGATCAACTGTTGGTATAGGATTGTGTATATAGGATTGTATAATTTTTTTTTCCCCTTTTATTGGTTGAACTAGATGGACATGTGTCTTTTTTTCAACCGGACTATGTATCTATATGCAACTACTTTGTGCCACACTGCACACTGGCCCTGTCCTGAAGAAGTATCCAGCCACAAAATGCATTGACAAGGGCTTATTTAATTTGATATTAGCAGTGCTTTCCCTGGGTTGAATAATCATGAGATGTATGTGCAGTGTAACATACATGTATGTGTTTTGAGATTTTGCAGTAAGTCATGGAATATGCCTTTAATGTTGTGTACAAATAAATCGGTATATTTTTTTAAGTATTTGTGTCAGATGAGTTCTCAGTGTTGCTTGCAAGGTTCCATTTTAGCTTCAAATTTAGAATACTTGGTTCTGTGGGACAGCAACCTATTGTGTGTTTGACACTTTTTCTTTATTTTTTCCAGAAAAAGAAGATGGCAAAAAATAGTAAAATAAATAGTAAAACTATGAAAAAGCAATAACAGAAACACAAATAATAATTCGTAAAGCAACACTGCAGGGTTTTCCTAAAGACCTTTTTTATACAAAAAAATTTACCTAAGCAGAAGGTTAATTTTGTCAAAATGTTAGTGCACACTAAATCTGTAACTAGGCAGTGAAATCACTTTTGACACTCATTCCTATTTCTAAACACTTAAATCCACAACCTACATACAGTCCTTTAGCTGATATTCTTAATACTTAAAGAGCAGGGTTGGACAAATATTTAACATTTGATTTTAATTACCCAGTCAGTTGTTATGGTTAGTTGCTAATTCTAAAGAAAAATAAATAAATACACCACAATGATGAAAAAACATACCTGACCCTTTTTTGATAATACAGCGCACTACATTGCATAGTATGTACAATTAATGGAATATGTACATAGAGCAGGTACGTTGCCATACGTTCACTCAAAAAATATTAAAATTTCACTCCAACTATCTACGGTAATCATGTGCACATGAAACAAATAAAAAACAGAATTTGCTTTTCACAAAATTAGGTAATTGGTGTGGATTTTCACTATTTTTTATAGTGAAGATTCTCAAATCCTTTATTATATCAACCTTCTGTTACAGTTTTTATGCAGTTTTTTAATTACATCATTTTCTGATTGTTGACTCCGTTTTAATAGGACCACTTTGTCCACGGAGAATAAATAATGCACAATATATATCTTGCCTGGAGAAAGATATTTTAAATTATACTGGCTTGTTTTAAAAAAAAAAAAATTTAAACAATACCTACCTGCTTAATTTAACTTTGTTTCCTCAAAAATGATGAAGAATGAAGCACATGAGGGTAGGAAAGCAAGGGGAAAGTAGTGTTGTAGCTAGGAGGAAGGAAGTGCTCTTAGGTGTAATTAGAGTGTGTTTTTCTAAACTGAGAAGTGCTCCTAGGTTCATTGTTATTCGCAAAGGCTGAAGACACTTGAGAAAAGTGTAGCTATATCACATCCAATATTTGTCTGCATTTAAAAGACATTGCAGTAGACTCTGACATTATGGTTCCTGTAAGGCAGACATCTCCTACTTTTTCATGTCCTGAATTGCAGCAGCATTAAAATATCATGTTCAGACATTACTAATTAATTAAAGTGTACAGAAAGCTACTGAGCTCTTTGGTTTTGGTAGCTGTTGCTACAGTCTATGTTTGATACCACTATTTTCTCATCCTGTTATGTGTTGGATATAAGAGACTATAATGCATCATAAATTGGTGTTCAATGTCCACGCATTACCCTCAAATCCCTAATTTTAAAATGTAAGTGTGTGAAACTCCCTTTACTCCAAGCACACTGGGTAGACAGCATTGCTGCTAAAAAAGATCTGTAGGGGAGGGGCTTAAACATGGTGTTGGGAGGCCGCTGAGAGCAGTAGCTCCTGACACCCACCATAGAGAAAAATTTCAAAGCTGGAACCCCAAGACCCTACCTACCTGACCCTGCTGGCGGCAGGTTTTCAGGAGACCCTGAAAACCTGACGGAGGAGCATACAGAGACGGGGCAACCTAGAACCCCATGCTCGAAGGGTGATGGTGTGTTGCCGTGGACAACGGTTGGAGAACTAATTTATTACTGTCTCTGTTGCTAGTAAACGTATACTTGAGTGGTGAGGTGGGCTGGGCGGTTAGAAGACCAAGGAGTGAGGGGATTCCAGAGGCCAAGTGCTAGTGCATCTAAATGTAAAAGTGTCCTAAAGTTATCTGGGTCTACAAAAGTCATTGGAGAAGTAGGAGGAACCTTTCCTAGGTGATAACGTTTTTTGATCATTGAGTAGAAATTAGCGGCTAAGCATAGTCAATATAAAGAACAGACCCGCCAAAGGTGGGGGTGTAAAAACCCCTCAACCTAAGACAAATACCAGCACAATAGAGAAATATATGTCATTACAAGAAAAAAGTCCAGTGACACAACGACCAGAGAAACAACAGGAAGGAAGTAGAAAACATGATGGTGAGCAGTCCAAATTGTCATTCAGAACATGGGAAGGGAATGAAAATAATGAATCTATAAACATGGATAGCGTAAAAGATCAAAAGGCCTCAGAACAACAGAGAGGAATATCACAGATGCCTACAAAAATAGAGATGGTGGAAATGTTTTAAAAAATTGGAACTTTCTATAAAAAATGAAATGGCGGTGATTCATAAGGATCTTGGATAAAAGAAGTAGAGGAGAAAATGGAGACATAGGCCCAGCAGATAACTAATTTGGAGATGTAGTTGGAAGAGTTGCGAAGAGAACAAAAGAAGCTCTCGTTTAAATTAGAGGACCAAGAAAATAGAGAAAGAAGAAATAATTTAAGGGTTAGGGGCCTGACAGAAGATTCGCATGAAGAGGACCTCCGGGAAAAAATAGAGAGTGTTCAACCCAAAGATAGGTAGACTAGCCACAGATCCTCTGAAGATTGAGAGAATACATAGGTTAAGACGTCCATCAGGAGTAATACCAGACATCCCTAGAGACGTAATTGTTAGAGTCCACCATTATGAGGACAGAGAAAGGATATGTAAAAAAATTGTGGGAGATCCCACAAATAAAATTTGGTGAAACGAAATAACAAGTTTTTGCAGACATTGCATCGGAGACATTATCCAGAAGAAGATAGTTGAAACCTTTATTGGATCATTCGATATAACTGGGGATTTCTGGCTTGTCTGATAGGGTGTAAAGATGGGAAATCAGCGAGGCTAAGATTCCCAGAAGAACTCAGTGACATTTTTGAAAAATTTGAACTGAAGAATGTGGATATTGTAGGGTGGTCAGAGGGGTCTAATGAAAGTGAAAGGGTAAAGTAAAAAAAAAAAGAAATGTGGCAGTCAGTGAATAAAAAGAGAAGATAGACCGAATTGGGATGGGGGAGGATGGGGGGTTGGTTGGGTGGAGAGGAGGAGGTGATTAATACCGACTCCTCCTTCAAGCCCTGGGGGGAAAGGCTGTGCCCCTCTACCCCCCCTGTTGCATTTCTTTTTCTCTCCCTTACCCCTCCCCCCCCACTTCTCTTGTACCCTTAGTGAGTCTTTGGGGAAGATAAGTAGAGATGGCAGGGGTTTGGGAGGCTAAATAAGATATTAAACTCTCATGCTGAGCGCTGGGGGTAGGAGTAGGTGCGCACGTTCAGAGCTACACACCAAATTAGGAATCATCAGTGGGGGAATCT